GATAGTTTTTTTTATAATAATCAATTATGTCTAATTATACTTGACAGACGAAGCAGCTCAGTTTGTATTGTGCTTACATCTACATTTGGAGTTGTATGCTGAAGGGTAAATTTACCTGTAAAAAAATCAGGGATTATAATATATAATCGTATCAAATTTGTTTCAGTATTCCGTGAGAATGAACTCTTGCATTATTCCATTTCAGCATCTACTCCAAATTATTTGGGAGTTGTAAGCAATGATAAGAGATAGAAAACAAAATAATTGTGCACGTCTAGTATTAATAAACATACGTTTATGTAAAGAAAAAAAAGCAAAAAAATGCGATTCAGGGTCAAAATTGATGTTAGCTCGATCAGAAATACTGAACGAGGTCCTGCATTTTCACAAATGTCTTTAGAAAAAGGGTAACGTCCATTTTATGTCATTGTATTACTGCGGCACCTTATTAAGAATATTTTAGCTACAGGCAGCTATTCATAAGATTTATTTTTTATTCACAAATCGAACCAAGTTGAATGCAAAGTTTACTTGTCCATGTTTTAGAAAATAACAAACATATGTAGATTATAATTAACAATAAATATGATCGAAATTTGTTATTTATCAAGTACAAAGATTATATTAACATGCCTTACTGCAATAAAAGTAGGTATTATTCATAAAATTTAAAAATCAATCTTTATCATTTTAATATTGAAAACATTAAAAGATAATTACATAATATTTTAAATAAAATTTTCAATAAAAATATGGACAAGTGAGAAATGTCTTTGCATTTATAACTCGATTACTGTTCCAAGTGCATTTAAGTATCCTCATAAGAAATGTATTATTGTCAGTTTAGAACTATAAAATAGGTTCCTATACACAAATCAGGTTAAGTATGTACATGCATGTTTTCAATACTCTTTTTATGATGTTTTTGAAAATGCTATGAGATCTCAATTATAAAAAAAAATCAGGCCTAGTGACGAAATTGTTATTTTATTTATATATGTTTACTAATGTTTACCCAGCTTCCAATTTTTAATAAAAATTCCTATTTTAATTGTATCTCTTTATATGACATTGGCATTTATTGTTAGAAGGAAATACTTGGTAAAAATCAAGTTTTCCAAGAAAGCTAATATTTAATAACGTCGAATTTAAAAATGAAAGAAGCAGAAAATGGATAATTAATTATTGTAAAATAATGCCTAGAATTTGCGTATATATTGTACTGTAAAACCTTTTAGTTTGTTTTGAAACGTTACAATATAAGGAAACATTTTATAACAAAAATTTCTTGTTCTTCCAATGAGATCCTTCCTTCCATTTTAATATAAATGGTAATGTGCATTAAATTAAGACTAAAATCAGCTTTTTTTAATAATAAAGGGCTACATACTATAAATAATTACAAAGTATTATACATTTTATATAATTTAGTGTATTGAGAAAAAATAAATAGTGCTTGTTATTTACATATTATGTTCATTATGTATAACATGAAAAAATAACAGAATGTTTTTATAAATTATTCCTTAAACATTTTACGTTAATTTATGGGATCTTATATTTTATACACACTAAATGTATTATCTTACATTCATTTAGAGTGTATGTACAGAATTAAATTCATCTTGAAATTATAATATGTAAATATGTAAATGTACATATCTCTTGTATAATTTTATATATGATTTCTAATAAGTGGAAATGAACTTAGAATTTATGGAGCTGATGTTTATAGCAAGAATAGAATACATATATTAAGGTATAACAGAAAAATATTTGTTACTAATAATATGTTTGTTTACATTATAGAAGAGTTCTTACAAAACTTCTAAAAAATAACAAAATCGTAATAGCAAAATTTACTTTAAAATACAAAAAACCTCTTTTAAATTTTATTGAAAATTTGATCCTACTAGTTTCATGGCGTCGTCTTCTTCTCTTCCCCTGCGGGATGGAAGTTTATGGATGCTGAGTTGATGCAGAACCGCTTCCTTGTAGGTTTTGGCCCATCGTTAAATACATGTCCCAAATGTGCACCACATTTTGAACAGGTCACTTCGGTCCGCACCATATCTGGGTTTGCGATCAGCAGTAGTAGATTTCCACCAACTGTACGTCAATTGTCGACGCAGTTTTCGTGTGTCAATGGTGAGAGTGAAGTGGTGGTAGCGGAGCAATAGGAAGACAAAGGAAATAGAATAATAGAGTGTGATTAAACGTAGACCAACACCTCTGTTTGAGCACTCTAAATGTTTTCCAGTAATAGCAGCACCAAAAAAAGTGAACTAATATTAATAAAAGCAATAGGTTGATTGCAATATTGAAGTCAATGATCTAAGTTTTAAAGAAAATAGAAATTTTAAACAAAAATAAAGACATATTTTATTAAATACATCCTTTAAATAATAAGTAAAATAAGAAATAGCTACACATTCTAATTAATACCCATAATTTTGCTCCTTGTTTTATTCATCCATCGAAGCTCTCTCCAAATTTCCCTTCCATATCTAACTGTCTTGATATTATATGACAGAGTACAAAAATGTATTAAAGCAGTCCTGAGCAATATTTTCCTTTTCAGTTAGATATTTTTATGGTACTATTTAAAAAAAGCATTTGTATCTAATTAACGTATTTACTTAAAACACACAGAAACATACATTTTCACAATCTACTTTATTTATTATTACTACAAAGTTTTTATTGATGAATAAATAGGTAGCTAGTACCATTTAAGTAAATAATTGACTAATATTGTAATTATGATCTACTTGATATTATATTTTCATTCATCTGTTTTTATACACATAAATAAAATTCAATATAAATGATACCACTAAATATATAAATAATAT